TGGGTGAAACATTCCCATATGAAAGCCATGAACTTAAAGAACTTCATGTCCAGAACGGACAAGCTTAACATCTTATTTCTTTTTTTGAAACTTAATGGTCATACTCCTCTGAGCTGCAGAGAATCACTTACTTCCTTTACAAGTGCTGTTTTGAAAATGCCTTTTGTTGTTGTTAAGCAAAATTTCTTCAAGCTCTTCACACATCTGTTAGACTTGCTTTTTCTACAAAACTTTGTCCAATTTAAGAGTTAAACACTAACTTACACTTCCAAAAACACATTTAAAAAAATGAATACAGTAAATAAAGTTTCATGAAAAACATTTACTGTTGCTTCTGGGGAAAAAAAAACAAAAAACAAAAAAGTAAACTATCCAGCTTCCCTCTTAGTGGTTTTTTTTTCAGTCAAGTTACCATATTTGTGGCCAAAAAACTTTAAGCACATTTTAGTATCCTCACTTAATAAATTTGTAGAATTGAAGAATAACAAACAAGAATCTTTCTGGTCTTGATTAACTGTCTGAACATACAAACTGGAACATTAACAAAAAAGGCAGCCTTTGATACTTCTAAGATAGCAAACTGCCTATGGCAGAATTGGACAAGTTTCTTTGACCACAGGATTCACATTTACTCTACAGGCCCAAATGTTCTTGGCACTACAACCGGCACAGCACTAAAATTTAAGCAACATGATCCCTTGTAACTAAAAATTACAGAGTAATTAAAGAGTTACAAAAAATAACTAAAAATTCACAAACAAAAATAAACATACACAGTATCACTGTTCACATTAAAGAGATGTGAGATAAGAAGGCCTGAAGTTTTTCTGGAGTTTGATATTTACCAATATACAGTTTACCAATATACAGAAGTTATGTTTTCCCAGGACCCCTTGCAGCAGAACTGGCAAAATGCTGTCAGGTATTGTGGACATATTTTATAATAGATGGAGGTTATGTTTTTTCTAACCAGGACAGCCCTACTGAGCAGAAATTTATTATACCACAATGTGTCCATCCCTTCCCATGATAAGACACCTGTCTTTTCAATATAAAGGCTGTTTTTAATAACTGGCCTTAAGTAGCCACTAAACGCTAGCTTTTATTATTTATCACATACAAAAAAAAAATTTCCTTTGTGTTACAGATCTGAAGTCAAGACATTAACACATTCCTAAGATACTGTAGTTTTCAGATAACTAGTCTCTTAACTGTTTTTTCCATCTAAATCAGCTTTATTATCCAGCTACAAAATGCAAAATTAAAAGTGTTTCATCCCTAATTTGTTAGCATTTAAATACCAAAATAGAACACTTAGAGGCAAGTTTAGACATATTCACAATGCAACTATCCAAGTTTACTCATTAAGAGTATAAACAAAGCAAGCATCTTTTCCACAGCATTAAAATATGATACCCTTAAATTCTTTTGCATCCTCTTTCTGACCAGAAAGATTTTTTTATATATACATGTGTAGAATAAAAGTTTTTACTGTTTAGCTACATGCATGAGCACATGTGGGGAAAAACTCCCAAGTCTGAAAATGCAAAGCTGATCAGAGCATCAGGGAATTTGACAACACATGGTCAAATCTTCATGACCATAAAAAAGCAACCCAGTTTGCTGGCCAAACTGGCAGGAAGCCTCAAGTCAGACCCAAACTGGCCTCCTGCACAAGCTCCTCATTATCCCTGTACCACACAACAATATTCCAGGGTTTTGCGTATAAAACCACACCTTACTATTTGCTAAAGCACTCCAGCCTTACTGAGGGTCTTCTGTCCTTGAGAGTATGCCATCCTCAGCTATTTTTACACAGGTAACAGCTCTAAAAAGCATCACAAACTTCCCTCTCTTGAAGAGCAAGATATTTAACATGTAGGGAAATCCTCAACATAAAATATTCCATGCAACACCTATTTCTAACGGGGCACAAGCAATGCATGCAGGAAGTACTACATTTATGAGGCTATCATCTCAAAATGAGACTTTAAATAAATAGAAAAGACTGCTGGAAGTCTGCGTAGAAGAAAAAAAAAAACCAACTCAACCAAGTCCTCCAAGAGAAAAAAAAAAAAAAAAAGAAACCACAATTTAAACAAAATTGTTCAGAGCCAAACTGACTAAAGCTGTTAGCCCAAAGACAAAAAATACTATTATGAAGAACAATAAGTTAATAAAAGAGTAAGAGGCAACACTGACAGACGATGAGCTTTAGATGGAATAGGAAATATGCATTTTCACTCAAAAGATCTGATATCAAGTTAGTCAGTTCATTGCAACCAACACTAAATACAGCCCAAGACAGTTTGTGGCTGTCATCCATCTTAGCTAGCTTGTAAACCCATGGCTCTGGTCTTTATTTCACCTTTATAACCTATGGTTCATTTAGCACTAATCAAGCAGAACATCCCTACCCTCCTCCTACTTGGAAAAAAGGCATTAAAAAAAACCCAGATTACCATCAAAGATGAGTACCTTGAGGTGCAGAACAAGACAAAACAACCAAGAGAAGTTTATCCAGTCACAAGGCCTAAATGAAGGGTTAACTCCAGATGCAAACAAAAGTTTTGGCCCAGATTGGGTATAAATAGAGTTATGTACTAAATCCAGATGAACAGCAAGTTCAACAGTGTATTTTTCAGTCCCTGTCACTGCCAAAACCAGTGGAAAGGGTTTCCATAGTCAAATTCAAAAAACAGTAAGTCACAAAAATGTAGAGCAACAAAATAAAAAAAAAACTTCAGTTAACAGATGAAGACAATTTATTTTTAAAATACAGTGTTCTGTAAAATGGTCTTTACATAAACAAATTAATAATGCAAATCACTTTCTCCCTAAAGCATTTTCTTAATTGTCATCTTCACACATCCACATAACTATGTTCCATCTTATCTATTTAAGCTGTCAGCTTCAAATAAGGAACAGCAATTTATGAATAAAAGTTCCTAGACAACTTTTCTCAATGATTAGAAATTAAGAGAATTAAGAGGTAGTAACTAATACAACTTGCCTTCTTTCATATATGTCAGAAGGAAATGGGTAAGTACAGAGGCATCGATCTCTCACAGTAAAACTTTTATATTGTCTCAATACTTGCTCAGTTCAACAATATTACTTTAAATAGAAAGTCACAGAAATTAAATTAGGAAAAGAACAAACAGCACTTTTTCAGGATGTGTTACACAGACAAAAACACAGAAGAAAATCCCCTAAAACTAACAAACCAAACCCCCAAATTCAAGCTCATGGAAAAAGGGCACTAGCCTCCTCTCACCTTTCTGCCCTATATTTTGCAAGATTTATGAACTGAAGCAACAGACTGCATAAATGCAGGCCCAACAGAAAAGCAACTGGGGGGAATACAGCAAAAAAAGCAAAAGGGTTCCCTGCCTGCTGGATTAATCTGAACTAAATTATCAAAAGCCTCATTTCTACCACCAGTTATAGAGTATATCAACAGTAATGATGACCTGAGTAGACCAGGACCATGTGAGTGAAACAGATCACACGCATCACCTTTGTTCTGGCACTGTCTTTAAACTATACTTACTATACATAACTTACATTACTATACATTACTTACACATAACTATTCTACTCTGAGGGCTGCTGCAAACATGAATTTACACAAACACTACCTGACACAAGAAAGGTTTTTTTTCCCTGAAAAATCTGATTTATTATCAGTTATATCTAGAATTGATTAAACCAAATTCAAATTATTGTAGAATTTCAAAAAAAGTACTCTTCCATTGAATGGTGTCTGTCCTAGGGTTCTTTCCTGTTTAAGTCCATATAGTGGATCTTCAACTGTAAGGAGGAAACCCTCACATGCAGACAAACTAAGAGTAAATCAGTGCTTTTCATCATCTCCTTTTAGGATGGCATTCTTTCATAGTATACCTTTATGAGATTATTAATACTTAGAATTACTGTATTTATTAATTGATATCTGAAATAATAAGTCTTTCGAGAAAGCTACAAGTTGCTGAGAAAGTTACAAATTACTTGTGACTTCCAAAACCATTACCTATTTCCCAGTTCTCTGTAGGGCAAGCTGGCATACAGCTGGGCCCCGTAAGTGCGTGAAAGTGAAGTTGTTCCCGGTTATTTATGCTCTAGGGCAGGAACAAAGCAATCTAGGGCAACTCAACCTGGAGAAGTGCAGGACTTGCTAACAGGACAGATGGAATGCAAAACTGATACAATCATCGCAAAAAAAAAAAAAAAAAAAAAAAAAAAAAAAAAAAAAAAGGAAAAAAAGAGAAGACTAGAAAAGTGGACTACTTCTAATCCAGAGAAGTTGTTTATTTCATCAAAATTTCCTCAACAAAATATGAACTAGTCCTCTAAAAAAGGCTTGCGCCACTTTTTAAAATGGAAGATAAAAACAAACAAGAAAAAAGAAAAAATAAAAATAGAAAATAAAAAAAGCTGGATACTTTCTCCAGTGCTGCAGAATAAAGCCGCACTAGTTCCGCCTCCCCCGCAAAGTGCGGCCGAGAAACAGCCACCGCTCGGCGGCTTTTTGATTCATCTGCGAACAATGGTAGTGCTTCCCCTCCGCCGCAGGCGGGAAGGGGCCGCTCTCCCCGCCGCATCCGGGAGGGTCCCGTCCGCCGAGCCGGCGCGGGAGAGCCCTCTGGAGCGGCCTCTGAGAAGGCAAGGCAGAGAGGGAGGAAGGCTGCTAAGAAGGGAAAAAGCGAGGGAAGGAAGGAAGGCGCTCGGCCCCGGCGCGTCCAGCCCACCGGCAGCAGCCGCCTCTCAGTGTCAGGAGCGCTCTCCACCCAGCCGGGCCCGCCGCCGGCACCCGCGGTCCGGGCGTGAGGCGGCGCCCGCCCCGGCCCCGCGCAGCCCCGCGCTCGGCGGCGGCGGGAGCGCCCGAACAATGGCGGCGGCGCGGCCGCCGCGCTGAGGGCCCTGCAGGCGGCGCGGCTACGAAGGCGGGCGAGGGAGGGGAGCGGAGCGGAGAAGCCGCGCCCGCGGGCCGCGCGTACCTGATTGAACTCCTCGCCCACATCGGCGTAGATGTCGATGTGGTCCACACCGTCCGCCATGGTCCCACCCGGGGCCGCCGCCAGCCGCGCCCGGCTCCCGAGCCGCCGCCGGGAGGGGGAGGGAGCGGGGAGGTGGAGCGCGGCGTCACTTCCGCGGCGGCGCGGCCGGGCTTCCGCCGGCAGCGGGCAGCGGCCCGCTCCTCCCGCCCCGCCCCGGGCGCTCCCCGCTCCTGCCCACCCGGACCGGCATGGCCCTGCTCGGCCGGGCTGTGGCGTGCAGGCCCGTCAGGTCTGTGTCGGGGTACAGCGCTGCCTCCTCCGAGGAAGGGAGCTCCAACACAGCCAAAGCGCGGCTCAATAGCCAAGGCCTGTAATTCTCGGTCGAAAAATGAGCGCCGTGCTGCGTCTTCAAAGCGGGGGCGCGTTGGGCTCAGGAGCGCAGTAAAGTGTGCGGAAAGGACACAAAACAAGCGCACGCCGAAGTGCATTTAGCCAGGGCTCTCTACTGTGCTGCTGCAGAGCTCTCTTCTTAACATCACAAAGCGAAGATAATTAGTGTCAAATCAAGCGTTGTTCTTTTTTCCGGTGTTAAGTTTTTTGTTTGTTTGCTTGCTTTTGTTGTGCTTTCGGAACTGTTGGGGTTGCAAGACAGTTTCAAATTAATTTTGAATGAATGTTCTGTTGCCCAGATCCATGTTTAAGCTCCAGGTGATTTTTAGAAACAGCATCTCCTGGAACATGAAGTGCAGTGCACATAATGCTCTACATAATAGATTATGTTTTGCTTTGTACATTATGTTCCACATCCAAAAATAAACCTGCTTTTTTTACTTTATCGCAAGCTGACAATAAGAAGCCTGTGCTTCTCAGACTGAATTAAAATAATGTAAAAACATGACTGCAATAAATAAAAATGTTATTTTTAGCTTGACTCAAAATTTCTTGGTTCATGACTGGGAGTACTTCACAGTGTGTGGATCAGCATCCAAAGTGTCCTGACTTCGTCTTGTGTCCTGGACTTGTGTGCAGATCATTCCTTTCTATCTTGCTTGTCCCGCATTGAAGTGCCCATGGAAAAGAAATATGAATAGACCAAAAAACAGCTAAAAAGTCAGAGGTCCAAAGCAAGGGTTGTGTTGTAGAGCACACCTGCTGACAGTCTAGACATATTTCAGGTATGGAGATGCTTGGGTTATTCCTGGTGCTTTTATCCAATTTGTGACATGATAAATTTATCACCTGCAGATCTTGTGTCATTCCTGCTATTAATTCTGGAAGACAGAAATACTGTATTTAAAGATTTTTTTTTGGAGTTTCCAGGTTAGACGAACTAGCAGATTGTGAGCCCTTTGGTACAGTTCAGAGTATCACCTGAAAAAAATTTTAGAGGTGGTAGTTAGGAACAAGTAAACGACATCTTAATTGAACTTCTAGTGTTGGTTGCAGTTATGATTGCTACATTTGATCACAGATTAAGAGTATGTGTTCACATCTATGAATGCACAAGCTGCTGGTGAATGAAATGATTGGTTGCTTTTGCAAGGAGAATTCACTCTTCTGGATTTCTCATAGCCCATATAGGTACTGTTAAAGTATTAAGATCTAATTGGGTTCACATACTTGCCTAATGGTGGACTGATTTTGTAGCTAGTCTTCCAGAAAAAAAAAGTGAAGCAGATTAAAAAATAACAGCAGATAGTAGGTCATGTGCAATTGAATGTTTTATATGCATCTGAGTCTTATCCACAGATAGTTTTAAAGGGCAAGGAAATGAAATATGAATGAAAAGGTCATCATCATCACCTCCAAACCACCTCAGAGATTAATACTAGCATATGAGCAATCTCATGCAGGGCCTTTGAAGAGGCAGGAAAAGACATCAGTCTCTGCTTTTCTCTTTGCAATAATGAAGGATGACCAGTGAAGCCCTGGGACGCCCATATGCTGTGTTTCATGCTCGGGGCTCTTCCACTTCGGAGCCTTTTTTAATAGTTGGACTTGCTGGATTTATTGTCCACAGTCATTTACAGAATATATTATGATATTTTTTATTCTTGTATGTGTATTACTAAGCAAATTCTGTAGGCAGTGTAGGAGACTAAATATTATGCAAGCTGTTCTATTTATTTTCTGTTGTGTTTTCATCCTTTCCATAAGTAGACTTACTAAATATGTCTTCCTCTTTCTTGTGGTCATCAATAGCTTCTTTGTGAATTACTGTGCCTCAGGGGAACAACTTCAGAGTTGATCCACTCCAGTGAAAATGTTAATGCTTTACATATTAAAAATTAAAATTATTATTAAAATAATTTTTTAAATTATTAAAATATATAACAACTAAAATTGTAATTATGCATTAAACATTAAAATTATTTCAACAAAATGTTGCTGTCCTTCACCCAGTAAAATTCAGGAGGCTGAGGTGAAGCAGGGCTTGAAACAGTAATGTGATCATGAGAGAAAGATTCTTAGCAATACAACATGGTCTTGGAGAAGTGTCCTCATAAGTTTTGTTGGGGACAGCACAGGTCACTACTCATGAAGTAATCACACACCTTCCAAACCCTTAGCCCACCATGGGAACAAATGGCAGCAGATGAACTGGTGTCTTCCTTCAGTTCTTCTTTCACACCGTGGGATGTTCTGTCATATGATGGTGACAGCTGGAGCTCCCTTAATAGCAAAAGAAGGGGGGAAAGGCACTGTAGCAGTTCCACATAAGAAGGTAGCCTACACATCCCTGTTTCTCATGGATACACAAAATCCATTTATTTGTATATTGTTCCTTTGGTTCCCTTGTGCTGTTAATGATGTAAATTCAGATATAATACTGATTTTGAACATAAAAGCAGCAGCTGGTTTTCTAAGGATCTTGTGACACACCTCTTGTTAGCCAACAGAACTCTCTATGCTTTTCTCTTCAAAGCATTTCAGACCTTTTTCTATTATGATGCTCCTGCTGCAAGACAAAGGGGAGGAGAGCTATTTTCCCACCCCTTTTTATTGTATGTGATTATCTCAAAAATATTTAAATATATTACTTTAGTTAAGAGTGGCAGAACCAGTTTCAATATAATAGTGTTTTAAATATTAACCTATTCTTGCCAATATCAAAATAACAAAAATATATATTTGTATTTTTAAAAATAAATTTATGTAGAATTTGCCTGACGAATCAAGACTGAGAAAGGTGCAGGAATTTTCAAATACTTTTATTTCAATATCAGCATAAGCTGTTCATGCAGTAATGTTATAGGCAACAAAGTGAAAATATAAGCTATGAAAAATTGTTGTGTTAATCAGGATAGCACTCAAAATCAGAGGAGACCTCAGCTTAATTGAGAAGTGCAGGGTATGTTTTGTCATATAAACTTATGTCCTAGCTATGTCAGTCCAACTGCAATGAATGTGTTTTGTTTCTTTACTTGTAGTCCTGAAGGCTTTGATCTTTCCAAATCCTCTTGGAGCCACTCTGCAGGCCCTTTTATTGTTTTTCTCCCAGAAAAATAATCCAAATGGTAAGTCTGTACACTCTAAGCTGTAAGAAATTGTCTTTTCCACTGAAATGCCTTAGTTTATAAAATTCCACAGACAAAAAGGGAGAATGTTATATTCAAAATGATGTGGCAAATAAGCACAAATCTGCATATTTGCTTTCAGAGGCCAAAACTTCAGGTTTTGTTAACTCTTGTGTAACTGCAGGCTGACATGAAAAGAGACAATTGTGCTCCCAACAAAGGTAGCAACAGCCTGTGCTGGGAAAGTGGGAATATTGCCTCATCTTTTGGTTGCGGCTCAGTTAGATTGGATTAAGTGTAACATAAAACCACATCCAAAGGACATCTACAAGAACTCCTACTGACATAGCTATTGTAGGAGAATAGCTGGCATTATTCATCACTTGCTCAGAGTTGTCTTTTTATAGGTATTCAATTGTTTTGGGATCATACATGTGAGCATTGCGTTCCATCTTTTTTCCCCTCTATAAGTGCCTGTCAGTCTGCTGATTGTCTTGGTTCAACTGCTCACTCTCTGGTTCAGAGCCAGGTTGAAAATTATGGTTAATCAGGATATGATTTGCAAATGGTATGCATATTCTAATCCTCAAGGCAGAAAAGTGTATTAGAGAAGGTAAGTATAGTGCAAAAGGTGGTAATAAATTCCATTCCCTCATTTGAATCCACTTTCATATGAGCTGCTAATCAGAGAGCTGTTTCCTTCAGAAAAGGTATGAAATTGAATTTCCAGCTTAATGTCACATCCTATTTTTTGATAGCTTCCCTTTCCCTTGTTTAAAAACTTGTCTCAAAAATTTCATTTTTACCCTAAAGACTGTCACTAATCTATTTTTTGCAATACCTTTCTGCAGTTCAACTCCTCTTCTAAATTGATTGAAAGCTCCTAAACTTCTTAACTGCATGAAACACATCTTTCTTTCTCTGAATTGGCTATATGCATATACAAATAAAAGAACAGCACCACAAAGACCACTTTAAGATGTTATTTGATATTTTAAAGAATTTAAGCTCAAGAATAAATTTGTTACGTAGTTTCTGTTTACTTCTGATACCAGGAGTGACTCTGAATTTGGATAAAATCTTCACTGCTCACTCACACATTGTACGTGCTTTGAGCACAGGCTGGCACAAGTTTGTTCTCCAGGCTTCCTCTTTGTCAAGCTCAGCTATTTAGAGATAGAGTTTCAGAGAAGAGAAACCTCCTCTAATAATATTCAGGTTTGTTTTTTTTTTAAACTTGAACACTTCCAGATTTCAGGAAGAGCAGTATCTATCATTACTGTGTTATAAATATGCAGTATTAGTAATAGTCTGGAACTGGAAAGCAATATATCTTATTCCAAGAGCTGGCCAGCCTTCTCACTCTGGCCCTGATCCACGTCTCTGCAGCTCTGCTGAGCAATGTTCACGTGAGCACTTAGCAAGGGTCGGAGAGGAGATGTGCCTGTGCCCTCTGTGAGCTCATTGCTCCTGCTGCAGTGATTGTATAGCAGGTGCCAGCCCCTATCCCACTGCTGGGATTCCACCAGAAAAGCTGAGTGTCTCACTTGTGTCACCAAGGTTTTGAGGAGAGGCTGTCCCACTTGTACCACTGGCATTTTCAGGAGTGGCTGTGCTGTACAG